ATATGAAACATTCGTCAGCGCTATGAATAGCTTACTCCAACGACGCTGGCGTTATCGATGTCCAGTGAAACGCCTATATTAACAGACTGTTCATCAGGCTCAAAGTTGAAATTGAAAAATTGATCGCCGCTTTCGCGTAGCTGGAATTGATGAGACAGTTCGTTCGCGAATTGGCTCTCCCGGTCCACTCGATTGGTCAGCATTTCGACCATTAGGCTGCCATGTGCCATCGACCGCTCTGCGCCGATCGCTGTTATGTAGAAGCTATAATGAAAACAAGTGAAGTTTGTAAAAGATGTTGTAACGAGTGAAGTTTGTAACTTATCTATTTATGTGGAAGGCAGATCATTTTTTTCATGCAGCTGTGGAAGTGCATGTGGCACTGCGAGTCTTGGTGAACATTTAGTCCAGTGGTAATCATAAATAAAACTCTGATTGATCACTTTTCGAAAGGCTTAACAAATTATTTTGTCGCATGAAGCAAGTAAACTGTGCTCCACTATCCAACGTAGAAGCGGGTGATTGCCCACTGCAAGTGGAACAACTAAGATTTCCTTTTGAGAAGAAGTGGACACTTCGTTTGAAATTTTTGGAAACATACAGAGAGTGTGCTTATATTTTAACTCCTTGGCTACCCTGGTGATTATTGGTTACATTGGTCACATTTTGTAGAATTGCCACTTATTCACTATTTGGTCACATTTCTGTGAATAGATAATGGCAAGCAAAAGCTTTTTTCTCCCTACCTCTCAAAGCGTGTTGTTAAATTTGTCCCACGTGATAAAAAAAGTGCAAAATTTTAAAGTATCAGCTAAAAATTGAATCACTAAATATGATTTGCGAACGGCCTTCTTTTCAAAGGGAAAAATTCAGAGATGAAAATTCAAAAAAAAAAAAAAAACACAAGATACGTAATTGGGCCTCAACAAACCTTTTGTTCAAATTTTTCTCTTCTTCATAAAATGGATCGGGATGATGAAAGCACCTTGTGCTCTCACGTAACTG